CATAAAAAAAAGAAATAAAAAATCATCAAATGATGTAATTTGGTGGATGACACTAGGGGTGTGCAAAAACCGAACAGACCGATAAATCGAACCGAAAAATGTGTTATTGGTTTATTGCTATTGGGTTATTGGGTTAACGGTTTCCTAATGGTTTTATAAAAAAAATTATCGGATTATCGGTTCGATATTGATTTTCAATATTGGGTTATTGGGTAAACCGATAACCCATTAAGAGTTAAGACTATAGTAATTTAATACTTTTACATATACAACATACATATTAATAAATATTAATCTCAATATCTTTATAGTTATGTCTTAGTCATTTAGCCATCAATTCATACTTCGCTGTAACTTTGAGTTCACAATTTTACATTATACAAATCGTCAAAACCTAAAGTAAGAATCATATTCCTCTTTATTTCTCTTTGTGTTACACATGTATAGTTCTTTTCATGTTTGTTATTATTATTTCTATTTTATGAGCTTTTGTAAAGTTAAATTATTGTCATGACGTGTCAAATTTATTAGAGAAGTCATATATTTGTTTTATAAGCATATTCTTATTGGTTAAACCAAAAACCGAACCGTTAAGGACCAAAACCGATAAACCGATAAAAAATTATCTTATTGGTTCGTTATTGGTTTAGCGTATTTAAAAACCGAAAACCAATAAACCGAACCGATAATTCATAAAACCAAACCGAATCGACCGATGAACACCCCTAGATGAGACTGCTCTTCCAATAATTAGAGGTCTCGAATTTGAAAAATAGTGAGGCTCCAGTGTGGATACTGAATGGTGAGTGGAAAAAAATAGATATATATATATTAAAACAATAAGTAAAAATTAAATAAAAAAATTACACCAAACTTTTAAAGGAGATTAAAAACAATTAAAGTTGTTTCTCCAAATGTGACTAAATTAAATTTTTTTCATAATTTTAACTGACAAAATTTATTAAAAAATTGACATAGTCAAAAGTTATTAATTTTAGATAAATTTAAAAAGTAAAGACTATTCAGAATTTTTTTTTAGATCTACCCTCAACATAAGAGGACCAATCTTGTCATTTTCTCTATCATATTATATATTAAGTCAAAAGTCTTGTAAAATATCATCACATTATCTAATTCAAGAACTTAGCTCATCCCCCTTCATCTTTTATTTTTCTTCATCAATCAATTATCATGAAATCTTCAACAAGTTCATTAAGTGATCGATACCAGAAATTTTCGTCATTCAGTGACGACACTCCGTCACCGATTAACGTTATGAGGAGCTCGAAAACTCCGTTTTACGTAGAGACGATGGATCCACAACCCGCTATGTATAGAAAAAAGAAAAATGATGTTCCATGGTCAACTGGACTATGTGATTGTATGTCCGATCCCAAGAATTGTAAGTCTTCCTTTCATATCATTTGTGAAAATGCTACTCTGTCCGCGCTAATTTATATAATGTTATTTAATTTAATACGGAATTTAAAGAAAAATATTCAGATTTGTGATCTAAAATGGTGTTGTTGTAAAATAAATTGGGACATAGAGAGTACTTTTTTTTTTCTTATTGATTGAATTTTTTATTTTACTTTATTAGAAGGGTTAGTTTATATTTTTAGTCCGTCAATTATTTGTAAGATTTTAATTCTAGTCTTTGTGATATGCATATAATATTCACAAATTTATCATAAAATTTGTGGTTCCACTGCTTTATTACGTTAAGCATTGATGTTATTGCAACTTATATTATCTTTTTATGATTTTTAAAATTCAAATTGATGTTATTTAATTTAGTTTCAAAGATTAGTCAAATACTCTCCGATAGTAAAAAGTGTCACATAAATTTGAAATGAACGAAAATAATATTGCTTTTAATTTTATTCAAATGTAACATACTTCCTCCATAAAAAGACTAAAAACATATATTTCAGTTAATTAAAAAATATATTTACTTAATCAAATAACACAAGAACTATTAAAATTTTACTAACAATTAAAGAACCAAAATTACTATTATTGCTAATGAACTAAAAAAAATGTATTTTTTTTCTCTTTTTTTGTTTGGCTTTATTTAATCAGGTTGCATAACATTGTGGTGTCCATGCATCACTTTTGGAAAGGTTGCTGAGATTATTGACAAGGGTTCTAACTGTAAGTTTTTTATTTATTTTTTTCTGATTTTATTATGTTTAATAAATAATGAGTTCAGTTTTATTTCAAGATCGAAAAAACCAAAAATAAACCCGTTGAAATATTGAATAGATTGGCTATTTAAATTTTTATCTCATAGGTGAGTGCTCCAAAAATTGAGGGCAAAATTAAAAAAATTGAGGGGCAAAATGTAGTAAAGTGTGTTGACTAAGTCATACATTCTTGATCTCTTAAATAACTTATAAATATTTTACTGATTTATGTTTGTCGAATTGATTAATGAGAAATTTTATTAAAATATTGAATGACTTTTTTATTTGTTAGGTGACTTATGGCTCTATAATAAAGAATAAATAACAATAATTTTGTCTTAGTTCTAAACAAGTTTGGAGCAGCTATAAAAATCTTCACTTGCTCTTATACTATTAATAATACCTTCACAAATAAAGAAACTAAAACTTGATAAGAGTTCGATGAATTAGGTTACATAACCCATAGTTTAGTCTATTTTGACAGAGTTCAACTTAACTCAAATAACACTTTTAAATAACGTCAGATAATATCTCACTTATTAATTAATGTAGTCAAATTACTCATTTTCTACCCCCAATAAACTGGTGAATTTGTCTTATTAATCTTTTTTCTTCAATTTCATAATTATAACATTATTACTTTTTTTACCTTAATTTTTGCAGCTTGTGGAGTAAATGGAGCATTATATGCAATAATAATATGTGTGACTTGTTGTCCATGTTGTTACTCTTGTTTTTATCGTAACAAAATGAGACAACAATATTTGTTGAAAAAAAATCTTTGTGGAGATTGTTTGGTTCATTGCTTTTGTGAAGCTTGTGCCTTGTGTCAAGAATATCGTGAGCTCAAAAATCGAGGAGTTGATATGTCAATTGGTAAGAAAAACAAAATTATCTCACCCTTTATTTTTATTTTATTTTTAATTTTTAAATAAATTAATGTGAAAAGTAAAGTCAATGCGAGTCTTTGGTCAAATTTTTAAAATTTATTTATTTTTACAAAAATGTATTTGTGAGTATAGAGTTTGTGTTTGGTTACTATCAATTGAAAAACATATTCTAGTCATTTATGCAGCTGATAATAAATTTTGTGATCGAATGCTACTAGACAAAATTTCTCACTATGAGAGAGGCATTTCAAATAGTGTTAAACCAGAACAATCAATTTAAAAAATAATTTGTGTTTGGACAAAATTAGAACAAAAAATTTTGTTTGGTCAAGATGTTAAAATGGAAACAATTCCTCCATCCCTACGAGATAATAATAAAGTATGCGTATACTCTATCCTCTCCAGACCTCACTTGTGGAATTCATTGTATCTTTTCTTAAAAGCTAGATCCAACACTTCAATTTTCTAAAATAAATATTTTTACACTTCTTGAAAACTTTATAGAAAAAAATATAAGATATCTCAAAAGTACTTTACTATGATTTTTTTTTTTTTTATATATTCACAGGATGGCATGGAAATGTGGAGAGGCAAAATCGTGGAGTGATCATCCCACCAACAGTTGAAGGTGGAATGAATAGATAAGGATTAAGATTGGGTTGTGAAAAATCACGAGGATATTTTTTGAAATCGAAGCAATAACTGCTATATAGTAAAGAGATAGCTCTTAATTGAATGATAGTGAATATAATATTAGCCCTAATATAATTTGTTAGGGGATTGTGAGTGTTTAGATTTGTAATCTAATTATGTACAATACATGCATTCAAGTATCTTGTTAATTCTCCTTTCCCATCGTTTCGAGTTCATGGTTTCAGGATGGATATAATAAAAATTCACTATGAAAATTGATATGACAACCCCCGTTAATGGGATATGGGGGACGAGCAAGGCATATAGCCAATAAAGAGGTGAAATACGCTCGTTCATACGCACACCAAGGATGATAAAAAAAAAAAAAAAAGGGACCATAGCTAATGTAAAAGCATTTGAATTGCAACATAATGTAAGGGGAAAAAGTACCTTGCATATATATATGAATTTTTGTTCATCCCCACCTGGTCAATTCACCAGTTCTCACTTACTACTTATTCATTAAATACCGGCTTGAACAAGGAAACCGGTCCCTTACTACCAAGAATATCTTATACAAAAGCATTATATGATCGAACATCCTCATTCGAGACAAAGGAATTCAGCTTCAGAACGAAAAGAATGATTCTACCCTACAAGATAATTACAGCAATCAACAACAAGCCTTCTCTGCCTCGACTGCATGTAGGAACGAATCCAGAGCATAGGACAACACGCGCCAACCTTAACTCTCCTTGGAGGAACAAAATTGGAAGCCAAGTGGAACTCTGTTCACAATTCACAATATGCTACAAGGAAGCTGCAGTCGAGAGTGTCAACAAACCAACAATTAGAGAGCTCAAGAAAGTATGAACGTCATGGGAATATTGTGAATGACAGCCAGATGCTGAGTCTGATGATGGAGCAACCGAGGAGCTATTCGTGAAGGTGCCATTTCTCCCTCCACTAGACGAAAAAATGAAAAGAAACAAGGCATAAGTAATAGAAGAGCAAGAATGTTATGGGGAAGTTAATCAAACAGAAATGACTAAATTAGTACCTTCCAGGATATATACAAGAACTATGACCTGCAACGGGAAAACAAACATTAGGTATCGATAATAATGTAAATCACAACATTGTTCTCAAAGCATCTGCCAGAGACATTTACACATATTACTCTTGAACAAGTTCAAATCAGTATCTTATAATAGCTTAAAAGTAACCACTGTGACCCAATTTTGAAGGGAAAAATCAAGTATTTATCAATGTTACTTCAATCTTTCTGTATAAAGGTTTTCCTGTTGAGTTCCGTAACACTCTACCATGTGTATGTGCATTGGACATGGAAGAAATACATCTTTGCATCCATACTTTTGGAAGCATCACGAAGCCAAACAAGCCGAAAAGTTTAAACAGACTAGGCCTAAGAGCAGTTCATAAGGCATGTCATCTCTTGTTTTGGATAGTTTTCCTTATTAATATAACACATTTTCCCAATATGCTTGTAGCAGACTACATAGTTAATTTGAAAATTGAATCTCATACCCAGAATTTTGTGTCAACTTGTTAAAGTTAATTTGTGGTAGGATTACAATTGGACAAGACACTTAACAACAACGACATACCCCGTGTAATCACACAAGTGGGGTCTAGGGAGGGTGGCGTGTATGCAACCTTACCCCTATCTTGAGAAGAAAGTGAGGGGGTTTCCGATAGACCCTCGGAAACATGTAAAGCAAATACAGTAGCGAAAGAAACCATGTTGAAAACAATTAAGAAAAGAACTGGACAAGACACTTGTGATGTTGTATCTTAGGTTCAAATATTCGAGTCAGCAAATTCATGTACATATGAGCATTTGCAAAAAATAACAACATAGTTTTGACAACTTACTAGGATCAGTGGTTGTGACTTTAGCAACCCCATTGAAGTTGCAAGTTCCGTCGGCCATGCCCATCTTGTGATAATACGCATCAAAAGCATATGATGCATGAGCAAACACAGTATTTGGGTCATAGCAAGGATTTTCTTGCAACAAAGGAGTACAGTCAACTTTCCCCGGTCCACAAGCCCAATCCAGTGCAGCTTGCACCATTTTTTTATCCGCGTTTTCCTTTGCAACACAATAGGTTTGGTTTGTGGTGTCATTGGCCAACACCGTTCCAGATCCTGTCAAGTGCATGATATAAACTGGCACTCCATTGGAATCAAAAAGCCCCCAGTTCTTCTCAGATATAGAACCAGGTCTGAGATCTTCGTTGTAAAGCTCATAAATGTACGTACTAACTGCAATCCCAGGATGCTTGGGCGTCCCGGTGTTGTTAAGAACATGCCTAATCAAGTTACTATTATAAGTATTAGCATTGTCAAGAGAAGCATCCGGCTCAGTGGAGTCACCCTTAGATGGCCAACCTGACTCCGTTACCACAACGGGAATGTTAGTGAAGTTCAAGTAGGACATAGAAAAATATGCTGCATCAACAACAGCATCAAATACATTAGTATAGTGGAGGAGTGTGTTAGAATCAACAGCCTCCTTGTTAGGTGGGAGGGGGCGAAAGAGAACATAGTCCAATGCGATCACACCATTGGATTTCACATAATCATAGTATGGATATACGTTGAGCATGAAATAGGAACTGGTGTCCTGCAAAAATTTGAGCAACGGAACCATGACAGGATCTAACGATCGATTGAAGAAAGCTTGTGAGGGTGGAAATGAGTCGAGGATGATAAAAGATGAATGAGGGGTGGAGACTTTAATCTTAGTGTCAAGATTAGCAGCAACAAGGGCAGAGTGAATAAATTTCATGGCAGAGACCAAGAGAGGAGCAGCATTAGGAAGAGTGGTAAGGACTTCAGAACCAATGGCGATGGCTGTGATGTTGGTGGCAGGAACATGAGAGAGGATATTCCGGGAAACCCAATTGGCAGCAGTGGAATTCGACTGACCAATTCCTAAGAGCTGATCATTTGGTACAGAAACAGTGACGCGGATTTCAGTATGAGCAAGTGCAAGTAGCATAGCTTGGTCAGCATCAAATAGCCTGACATGCCGAATCTGCTGTGCTTTGAGGAGAGCCACCACCTGAGCTGGACTGGGCATGTCAGAGACATCAGTTCCAATGTTTACACCAATGAACGCCTCTGACAGAAAGAAGAAAGATTGAGTAGTGTTTAGTTAAGCAGCTTTCAGTAAAACCAGAAGAAATGATATCCTAATCAGCCGGCACTTGTGGAACAATTAAGTTGAAACAAATCAAATCAAGGCTTCTTGCGCAGGAAAATGCAGTAAATCTGATTGAAATAAGAACAAGAGAATAATAATAATGAATGTATGTAAATTTACAATTTCAGATGATCTACAAGCCGTCATGGCCAACAACATCAAACTCGGTGTAAGTTGGGGTCTGGGGAGGGTAGATCATACACAAACCTTATCCCTAACTTGAGAAGGTAGAGTTGTTTCCGATAGACCTTCGGCTCAAAGAACGATAAAAAGAGGCAGTAGCAACAAGCAGAAACAACAGCAAGATAATAAGATAACCGAGACTACAGGAACAACATGTAGAAGTAGAAATCTAAAAATAACGAACAACTGTCACAGCCCTCGGCTACAATTTATATATAACAAAACAACACAAGTTTTGCCACCAGGTTAGTGTTTCACAGACTTGATAACCATCATAACTTCCATAATACATATGAAGACCAGTCAGACATAGTAAAAATAATTACGTCTAACCAACCAGAAAATGTGATACTCCTATAAAAGAAGAGTTACAAAGTTTTAGTTGTTTATCAACCCCCGGAAATGTTGAAATTCTTATTTTTTATTGATGACAGGTGCCTAAGTAATAAATGTATCAACTGCCTACCCACGTGTAATTTACTTCTAGTCCTCAATCTTCATAATCAAATCGATTTGATTTAAATTTTGACCTATTCTGTGAATAGAAATGAAGCGAGTTGCTAGGAGCCTATGACAGGAATAATATTACTGAAGAGAATATCTAACAGCTTCAGCTCTTCCAATACTAACTCTACAAAAATCCCAAAGCTAGTGCAAAAACCGACATGATTCCAAATATTTATCACTCAGATTGCTTTGTCTAATTACTTGTTTCATTTCGTAAGGGGTCATTTATTTTGAAGTCAAGTTATGCTGAAATTAGTTATCCTAAGATTATTTCTTATTAGTTGTTTGGTTTAATATATTAATGATATCGTACATTGCATGATTTCTAAGAAGTTGTTTGTTATCCCCCCCAATTAATAACCAAACAAGGGATAAGAGTCTTATCATAAGACAATACTAGTTTTTTTTTTATCACAGGACTATCTATGCATGTCCAGCATACCAAATGATCCCTAACAGTTTGTATAGACCCTCTAGCGATCATCACATTGCTGCATTGCACGATTCGTGCTCATGTGATCGACCACTGTGAATGGCAGAGATTCCTCTCATCTGTCTTGATATTGTGGTGCAGCAAGCAACCATATCCCGAGACAGTATGGGTGTGCACAGGGTGTACCAAATCACCCTAGTTGGTCGCCCCCGCATCATAAGTGGGGCAACCAGATGAAAGTTGACTAGAAGTTCTTGGTCTGATCAAGAACCAGATCGAGTTGTGGGGTCAAAGGCTTCCAAGGATTCCACAAGTTGCAGCACAACAAGGCGACCAGCCGCCTATTTTCTCGTACCAAGGCAGCCAACCATTTGGCACATTAGCCAAGGACACATACTTTTATGCATTTGATTGGGATGTCTATTATTGTCAAAAGCAGGATATGCGTCCATCCTAGCAGCGTGACATTCCAGGCACATCTTGGTATTACAGAGGCACTTCCAGTGCCAGATGTGCATAGAAGATGACTAAGCTACTGTTCGTCTCAGGTCAGTATTTTTTACTACTATTAAGCAAAAATTATTTGTTTCCTATTATTGTCATTTAATAGTTTCATAGTAGCAAGTTGATGCAAACGATTTCTACGACTTACTATACCAATGATCCCATTGATTCAGATGATTTTGTTACTCTCAATAGTCCCTTTGATCATAATGGGCTGAATTATGACCTAAATAAAAGAGTGGAAAAAGTCTTGTGCGCTCGTACGATCATGCTATAGAGCATTTCTGATTAAGAGAAGGCAGCATTGTATTATATATATGCATATATCTTTTGATAAAATCCTGCCTACCCTTGATCAAATATCAATTAGGATACATTAACTGATGTTCCAGACACCCCCCAAAGTATCATTAAGAAGAAAAATCATAATTAGAGTAAGGAAGACTCTATATAAGCCATCACATTCACCCATTCTATTTCGAGATTTTTATGTCCAATATTAATTGGAACAATATTTTCAGCCAAAAGACAGACCACAAACACGGCTCTTTGGTGATGCTCAATGAAGATTCACAAATAACATTATGCTCACTGTTATAATAACAGCAACAACAACAACATACCTAGTATAATCCCACAAGTATGATATGGGAAGGATGGTGTGAACACAGCCTTACCCTTACCTTATAAAGGTAAAGAGGTTGCTTCCAATAGATCCTTGGTTCAAGTTAAACATGTCCAAGAAACAAGTAAAACAAATACAAGCGAAAAAGTCATGTTGAAAACACTTTAGAAAAGAACAAGCAGCAACAACAAAATGTACGATAACTGAAGCAAAGAAAACAAAGAGGTAATACTAAAACCGAAGAATAAAATAAGACAAGAGAAAGTCCATGTGCAGTGAATAATTTTCAGAAACAATGGGCACATAAATCTTAAAATGCAGCAAACAACCACACCATGTGCTAAATGTTACTTCTTAAGAACATTGATAAAATAGCCTTGAAAGCACATCAAAGGATTTCCATTATTTTTTATACTAGTATTTGCAGAGGAAACCACATGAAGTGGGACACATTAAAACTAATCTGGAAAGATGGTCATATTGTAAAATATCATAAAAGTGAAATTATATATTAAGAGATACCATGTTTAGAAAAAGTCAAGATCACTAAGGCAAAAAGTTTCTTTCTTTAGAAAAATCATAGAGAAATGAGAGTGTAGCAAAAGTATTCACATTTTGCCTCTTTACAACACTGGCTTGAACTTTAAGCATTCAGCTCCATTTTGTCAAAATTAACTACTTTTGATTTTTGTCAAATATTTGAACAAAATAAACCAAAAATGTTTTAAGTCTTATCAAATCCTAGGAATCACAATACAAAACCCTACAAAATGCATTAAAACTCACATCCAAAAATGAGTACCCCTATGACAAATTCATTACATATTTGATTTTTGAGTTTCATACATGAACTATCAGGTGTGTGAGTTTCCTACCTGCACTATCACCAAATGTTTATGGAAACACAAATGAACTATAAGTTGTTCACTTTTCTTACCTGAACAATCAGGTTTGCTTCAAGAAGCATTTGGTGCTAGTTCAGACAGAAAACTCACACACACTTGATAGTTCAGCTATGAAACTCAAAAAATTGGAATAATTTAAGTGTGTTTTTTATACTTTTTCTCTAATACTTTGCAAGGCCTAATGGAGAAAAGATTGGTTCTACTAATGTGACAAAGAAGTTCAAAGTAAGTTGGTGGAGAAGTACCAAAAGAGTTTAATTTCTCATAAGCTTACTCAACTAACATCTATTATCTCATAAAGACTATTTTTCTGAAGAAAATTAAAATCAAGAATAAAGGTAATAATTATCTAAGATAATAACTATTAGTAGTTGATTTAGCATATAACAAATCCAGAGCATAATGCAAGTAGAAATAAACATCATAGTTTAAACAAGCAAAAAAGGCAAATTAATTTCTTTAAACCAAAGTTATTGAGTTCGATTAAATCCATAAGCTAAAATCAAGAAAATAGTAGCAAAACTTACCTTCATTAGCAGAAAAGGCAAAAGCTAGTAAATGTGGAATAAGAAGAAGTAGAACAAGAAGATCCATTGAGCTCTTCATTTCTGTTCTGCAAAAAAAAGATTCAATCTTTCTACACCATTAACAACCCTTCAACCAAAAAAGGGGTTTTGGGGTGGGGGGGTGTTTGGGGGGAGGGGAGAGTTTTGGTGATTGTGAAGTTGAGAAAAGTGGACTCTGTTCAAATGTATAGAATTTTTTATTTTTTTGTAAGCATTTCACATTTGTGAGAGAGATCTAAGGGCCGAGATTAAAACATAGGATGCTCTGTCTATTGAAGCAAAAAAAAAATAAAATGGAAACTTTGAAGGTCTCTTTTGGGACACCAAAGAACACTTTTTTGCTGCCTTTATAAGTATTATCAGGTTCGTATGTCCAACAATAATTGTCCACAGTTAACTTGACAGATATTTTAAGAAACAATAAATAATAGGGGTAATATTTACTGTATTTCCCTTTAAATAATGGTTCGGAAAATGTGTTAAATATTAAATAGTATTTAAAATGAAAGGTAAATAGACAGACATCTCTAGATTTTTAAAATTAGACAAATATTATTGAATAATTATTTTTAGTATAATGAAAACGTAAAAATTATGGTGATATTTGGAAGCGTTTAACCATGAAATTTTTTAAAAAAATTTCTGAAATTCAACTAATTGAAAAAAAGAAGAAGCTATTTTCACTTTTATTTCAAATTACTAGTATTAAAAAAGAAACAACTAATTTGAAGTAGTAATCTAACACAACGTAAATTTTTAAATGGTAAACCGAGAGAGTAGAAAGTTTGAAATTAATTATTTATAAAATATAAAAATGATTATATTTTTATAAAATTTAACCCCAAAAAAGGAAATTTATATACATAAATTGATTTTAAAAAAAAGTACTTACATTATGTAAATACATTTATTAAACATGAAATTTGTAACACATTAAAAGTGATGATCTAAAATATGTCATGGCCACGCCTATTTGACTAGATTAGTCAAATACTTCAACCTGATCACACAAAATAATTATGCAGAAAAAGGAGAAATTATGTAATTATAAAAAATTAAAAATGATAACAATGTCTTGGTGATAGATTTCCTTCCGTTCATTTTTACTTATTTAATTTTTCATAAATAAATGACTTATCAATTTTAATACATTACAATAAAAATAATTAGTTTTTCTATTTTAGTATAATCACAATTACTTAGTTTTAAACAAATTTTTAAAGATGGACATTATATATTATTTAATTTTAATTTTATAATAAAATACACTTATTTATTATTATTTCTTTAAAACCGTGTGAATTTGAGAATGATCAAGTAAAAAATGAGGAGAAAGTATAAAATAAAATAAATTTGTAAAAAAAAAGGTTTGAAAATGAATTGATTCAAAGATTGTACAGTGTTCAAAGATTATGCAATGCCCAATGAGAGCAAAGTTCTGATATATGCCATTCAATTGTCAATTTTTACAGTGTCAGTAATGAATTCAGATATAAGAGGGGTCTTTAATTATTTTGTTCTCTTTTATCGATGCATGCGTAACGGATAAATACTTCGCTTAATGAGTCCAATTTGTATAGTTTATCACTTTTTTTAGTTTTTTAGTTTGTTTTTGATATTCATATTAGATTTCGATTAAATTTAAATTCACACTGAAAAATTTCAAATTAAAAATAAAATGCTCCTTAGTGATATTCAAGGGAACTCAAATATGAAACTCTTGAGACCTCTTGATTGATAATTAAGTACTTATCACAATGAAAAGTCTCAAATAATATTGGGCCATCTGATGTAAGCCCAATGTGGAAATTAGTTAACAGACTTTTAGGCTTTGCTTTGCTCTTTGCAGATTTTGTGTTGGAGGAAATTTCTTAAGTAGCCACTACAAATAATTTAATTAGATTACATAGTTATAGTTTGTTAATTATGATTCGTAGCTACATATTAGAGTGAGGAAAGAGGCAAGAGAGATTGGGAGAGGGAAGAAAGAGGCGATCGAGAGAGGACAGAGAGTAGAGAATTGTATTTGTATCTTTGTCGAATTGTATATGTATATCTGTTAGATAATTGTTTATAAATAACTGGTATACATATGTATTTGTATATCTGGCGAGCGAGATTGAGAGAAAGAGAGGAAATTATAATGTGGGAATCGAACCCTCACCAACAATATGAGAACTCAGATAATCAACCAACTAAATTATTAAAATTCCCCAACAATCTCATTCTACTTCTACAGATATAACAAATTGAAATACTTGACTCATAAAATTCATGCTCAATTAAATCAGACTAACAAATTGAAACGAAGAGGATGTCAGGTACATATCATTACAAAGAAACCAAACAAGTAGCTACTCAAAAGAAAATTACAAATATAGCTACTCATAGCTTAGAATTACTAATCTTGATTCTGCAACTTATCAACCCATTGATTCAACTGTTCAACAAAGTAGGAGTTCAAGTAACCAACCTAGTCACATAATAAAACAACCAATAAAACATCAACACAAACGCGATCAACACAAGTGAATAGACAAGAAACATGTATAGTTAATGAAATGAAACAAGTCATAAGTAATAGTAGAGCAAGAATAACAAGTTATAGGACAATTTAGAAAATGACTAAATTAGTACCTTCCTGGATATATACAAGAACCATGACCTGCAACACGAAAACAAATAATAAGGATCAATAATAATGCAAATCACAACATTGTCCTCGAAACATCAGCCAGAAGAGTCGTGAAGATAGAGAGGTTGTTTCCAATAGACCCTCAGAAACATGTAATGTCAGCAAATTCATGTAACATATTGAGCATTTACCCCAAAAAACAGAGTTTTGACAATAGGTTCGGGTTGTAGTTTTATTTGCCAACACCGTTTCCGATCCCGTCAAGTGCATTATATAAATTGATTGAAATAAGAACAACGAATAATAATAATAACAATAATGAAGGTATGTAAATTTTACAATTTGAGATGATCTACATTTAGGGGTAGATCATACTCAAAACTTATCCTTAACTTGAGAAAGTATTGATCTTTGGCTCAAAGAACGATAGAAATAGTCAAAAAGTGTATTTCTTTAGAGGAAATCATAGAGAATGAGAGTGTAGCAAAAGTATTCCTATTTGCCTCTTATACAACATTGGCTTGAACTTTAAACATATAGCTCCATTTTGTCAAAATTTAGTGCTTTTTATTTTTGTAAAAATAAAACGACGACATACACAGTGTAATCTCACAAATAAGGTCTAAGAAGGGTACAATGTGAGTAAACCTTGGTAGAGATGTTGTTTCTGCTAGACACTCGGCTCAAAAAAGTAATGTAATCATACAAGAAAATTAACCAGTAATGTCTTAAAATTCTTATCAAAACCTAGAAATCACAATACAAAAAATTACACTAGACAATAGACACCAAAATATCAAAAGTTACACCTCAAAAAGCTTCAAACCCCTAAAAAATACACTAAAAAGTTGTCACTCCTAACAAATTTAAGGATCAAAACTACTGAATTCTCTTATTATATAAGAGGGAGTTTATGATGGGACATTGTGATGTCCAATCATAAACTCCCTATATAATATATAATATATAATATAATAAATCATTTTTTCTACTATATAATATATATTTGTTTTTCTACTATAAGGGAGTTTATATAATATATAATAATATAATATAATAAATCATTTACAAATGACTTAAAATATTTCATATTTAAAGGATATATAATAAATTAAGTTTACTCTCAAAATTCTATCCGGGTCACATATATTGAGACAGAAAAAATAACATATATCATTTTAAAATTACCAAAAAAGTATTATAAATAATAATAATTAACAACTTAAAATATCTTAAAGACATTTTAAAAGGGTTAATTTTGTAATTGTAATTTCTACTATATAATAAAAGGGAGTTTATATAATATATATTCTACTATTATATAATATCATAATAAAACCCCTTTTATTATATAGTAGAAATAAATATAATATATATATATATATAATATAATATAATATATAATATAATATAATATATAATAATATAATATAATAAATCATTTACAAATGACTTAAAATATTTAATATTTAAAAGATATATAATAAAATAGGTTGACTCTCAAAATTCTATCCGGGTCACATATATTGGGACAGAAAAAATAACATATATCATTTCAAAATTACCAAAAAAGTATTATAAATAATAATAATTAACAACTTAAAATATCTGAAAGACATTTTAAAAGGGTTAATTTTGTAAGTTTATCCATATCACATAAATTATGACAAAGTGACCAGCAATATAAGTTATTTGAAAGTTACATAAAAATATTATAAATCACAATAATTAATAACTTAGAACATTTTTTTTTAAATGCAAATTTGGATGACTCTTCAAATTTCATTTGTGTCACATAAATTGAGACAACAAAAATAACATATATTGCGCCCATTTTAATTTATTTGTCTTAATTTTTTTTTATATTTAAAAATTGCGTAAAAATACTATAAATCATGATAATTGACAACATAAAATATTTCAAAAATAAATACATATAAAAAAATTTGATTAATTCTTGAAATTAATCTATCGTTAAAAATTATGTATAAAATACAATAAATCGTGATTTTGACCACTTCAAATATTTATTAAAAAAACAGAAAAAATAAATTGACTGATTCTTAAAATTAATCTATCAATGTCACATAAAATGAGACAAAAGTAGTAATATGTATTGTTTAATGTGAAATTATTGAAAACTACGTAAAATGTATTATAAATGTTAACAATTAACAACATTTGATTGAATCTTGAAATTTTATCAATGCTACATACATTGAGACAAGTGGAGTAATATATATTAAGTATTTAAAAATTACGTACAACCATATTGCTTTCTGTAGGCTTCGAATTATCGTGGTCATTTTTTAGGCTGATACAAGTTTTGTACTTTTTTTTTAATATTATAAATCGCGATAATTAAAAATTTAAAATATTTTTAAAAATATATTAAAAATTTAGTTGGTTCCGGGAATTTTATTTATACTATATAAAATGGGACAAAGGAAGCAACATATATCATTTACAAATGACTTAAAAAGCATTAAAAATTAGAATAATTACCAATTTAAAATATTTAAAAGCTATATAATAAAATAGGTTCACTCTCAGAATTCTTTCAGGCTCACATATATTAGGACAGAAAAAATAACACATATCATTTTAAAATTACCAAAAAAGTATTATAAATAATAATAATTAACAACTTAAAATATCTGAAAGACATTTTAAAATGGTTAATTTTGTATTTTTATCCATATCACATAAATTAGGACAAAGTGACCAGTAATGTTGGTTATTTGAAAGTTACATCAAAATATTATAAATCACAATAATTAATAACTTAAAACATTTTTTTAAAATAAAATAAAATTTGGATGACTCTCCAAATTTTATTTGTGTGACATAAATTGAGACAACAAAAATAACATATATTGGGTCCATTTTAATTTACTTGTCTTTTTTTTTTTGGGTTTTTTATATTTAAAAAATGCGTAAAAATATCATAAATCATGATAATTGACAACATAAAATATGTTTTCAAAAAAAATAGAAAAAATTCCACTCATTCTTTAAGTGAATCTATCGTAAAAATACTATAAATCATGATAATTGACAACATAAAATATTTCAAAAATGTTGTATGTGGATTAGTCTTATTGTGCCTTGAATAGCGTCAAATAAAGTACAAGTTTGTGATAAAAAAACTTATTCTTTTATTCACGCAAACAATCGCTTCAAAATCTCCGTTATTAGCCCCAAAACATACCATTTATATTATTGGGCCCGTGCCCGTGCATAGCACGGGCAACATTACCTAGTAATATATCTAAGACACTAGTTTGAACATGTCCCAAAACAAGATTTATTTATTTTTGTGTTTTTTTCTCTAAATCTTTGCAAACAAAACTCACTCCAAAACAACATCTCCCACTCAAATTATCATTTCCATATTTGATATCATGGTATGGATAAATATATTAGTTGTTTTATAATGAGATTACAAATTATTTCTTAATAATTATTTTTTGTCAAATTTGCTGGTCAAATAATTATGACCCAAGTTTATCAGACATAATTAAATTCAGAGTTTGGCTTGAAGCATGATTTCTGGAAAATCTGATTTAGAGGCAAGACTTTGAGAGAAATTTTATCTATGGATATAATTTATGTCATTAAATTTAGGGAATATTATGCGGTTAAGCAAATTTATATCATTTAATTAGTCATCATAGGTATAATTTGCTATAATTATCACTCGCAACTAACATTAACTATTAATTATGTGAGCTGAGTTCGAATTTGTATAATTAACCACGTTTGTATAATTTGCCATGTATAAATCACAACTAACAATTCTTCATTTGATTTGTATTTGTATACGATGATTTGTATTTGTATATTACGATAATTTCCTTTGATTTTTTAAGTTTATCACCATATACATATAATCTTTTTTGTATAATTTTTTAAAGCTTGTATAAACAGATTGTTTTTGGATTTTGTATAATATAATTTATATAAGGTAATTTGTATAATATAATTTATATAACTGTTTAAAATATATGTTTGTATCAATTCATTATTTCAAGTTTTATCATATTTGTATGTTTTATCATATTTGTATAACTCCAAACTGTATATTACTCAATTATACAAAAACACGCAAATTATACAAACGTACCCGCAAATTATACAAACGAGATGTGAATTATACAAATTATTGCCCTCTCTCGCTCGCCTCTCTCCTCCCTCTCCCAATCTCGCTTAGGATATATATATATATATATATATATATATATCAATTACATATATACAATTATCTAACCGTTACACATATATAATTCACCTCTCCCACTCTCTGCCCTCTCTTGCTCGCCTCTCTCCTCCCTATAGCTACGAAACGTAATTAACAAACTATAGCTATGAATCGTAATTAAGCTATTTTTAATTGGCTATGCGAAATTTCCCTTATGGCTTATGCTACCGAACTAACTTATGTCTTGGACATAATTTACGCCGTTGAACTTCTATTTTGAGAAGTAGTAACAGGTATCTTAAGCCTAACTTGTGTTATCGAAGTTGGGCACGAAAATCGAAGTTATGTCATCAAACCCCATTAACGAATAAGAGGAATTCGTACCCTCAATAAATAAAAAATCTACCTAGCAATTCCAATGCTAGCCTTAAAATTCATTCTAACTCGAACAATTTTCCTAGAGGTAACAAATCGGCCTAGACACTTTCTTAAAAGTTGTGACAAATAAATATAAACATTACCATATATACATGCTACGTGCATATCATTATACCAAAAAAAAAAAACAAGTTAATAGAGATTACCGATAAACTCCATACTCATAAAACTTTGCAATCCATTACAAAGGAAACCAAACAAGAAATACTCAAAAACATAATATAAACCACAACTACTTAATTTAACTTATATTTTATCATTTGAATTATTATTCCTGATTCTTCAACTTTTCAACCCGTTGATTCAATAGTTCAACTCGAGTAACCAACCTAGTCACAGAATAAAGCAACCAATAAAACATCAACGCCGACGCGATCAACAGCGCGTTACGCTGACTCTTCACAATCGATTTCTGATGCCGCATCAGTTCCGTGGGAGTACAAGACTCGACCGATTTACACCTCGGCCGAGTCTCGTACTTCCAATAAATATCCAACAACAAGAACAAACAAAACGGAACTACAGAAAGAAACGGTTTGAGGAGATTTCGGGTTACGGATATTAAACCTTTACGTAACGGGTATGTACCCGGAAGAGTCAAAAGTATTACCATAACTGCTTCTGCTGCTGCAGCGTAACCTAGAATTACCCATTCTAATGCCATAGATATGTTGTTTTGCTCTCTTTTTTGGATAAAATAAATGATTGAAGATTGTGATTTTCTGTGAGTATAATTTGAATTTATTTTTTGGGGGTTTAAATGGGAAGTGGTTGAGGATTTGGTGATGACGTGGCAAGGGAGAAAAGTGACACGTGGAATGGTTATACACACGTTCTGTATACAGATGGCAGGTTTTGGTAAAGCTTTGTTATGTATACCCGTTCTATATTTTGGTTAGGCATATCATTTGGTACCATGTTATCCAACTTTGACCATGCGCAGGTTGTCACTTAAATTTGTTTAGAATTTTACGAGTAGCCGTTTATATCTTATTTTGGTTAGGCATATCATTTGGTACCATGTTATCCAACTTTGATCATGCGCAGATTGTCACTTAAATTTGTTTAGAATTTTACGAGTAGACGTTTATATCTTATTTAGCTTTTTATGTAGCAATTCAGGTTCTATGTGGCATCATATGTAGTTTTCTACTTGTATTAGATCATGTAAAACGAATGTGTTTACTTCTTTAATCATATATATGTTTAAGTATTGTCTGCTTATACACACTCCAAAGTTGAAGAGCATAGATGCAGTTGAGAATAAATTAAAGGATATAAGTGTGTTAGGCCTATTGTTTATATAAACATCAACAATGAATAACCGATAAATCGAAGTTATAGAAATTCTATAACAGTTTAGCAACTAATAAATCAAATTGATAAATTTCAAAATTAAACCGAATCAATTGATACTTAGCTCTAAAACAAACTGATAACACCACTTGATATTCACCTAAACAGTTAACATTCTAAACCTTTTGAGTTATGCACCTAATATATAATTAAAGAGCGTTTAGAGATTAACTTACTGATGCAAACTTCATACACACACAAAAAATAAAAATAATGGTTTAATACATAATCATGATTAATAATTTAATCTTATTGAAATTATGCATTAGTAAGCAATTTCAACAAAGATAGAAACATCTTACTTAAATTTTATAAAGGTCGGGTGTGAGGCGAGGCGTTATTATTACTTCTATAGGATTTACCTTACGCATAGTCATGCCAGGTCCCTCTTTCATATCCAAAGGTTCATCCGATGGAATTTTATAATCGAAACCTTGGATCAAATGACCTATTGTTAGGTACTCCACTTGCAACGCATAGGTCATTCCAGGACAAGATCGTCTTCCAGAACCAAATGGAATGAACTCATAATCTTGACCACGGAAATCAATATCAGTAGTGAAGAATCTATCTGGATTGAATTGATCGGGATTTGACCATATTTTAGGATCTCGTTGTAATTTCATGACATTTGTGTATAGTCTAGTACCTTTAGGTATGTGATAACCACTAACAACACAATCCTCCGTGTTTTCATGTGGTACTAACAAAGGCCCTGGTGGATATAATCGTAACACCTCCTTAATGATAGCTTGAAGGTACACCAAATCCTTAATATCGTTGTCATCTATCCATCTATCCTTACCAATTTTCATGTGGATTTCTTCTTGAGCTTTCTTCAAAACATGTTGATTATTTATCAGTAATGTCATTCCCCAGTTTATATGAAGAGAAACTGTGTCTGCTGCATCCAAGACCAAACTCTGGAAATTTTTTAGAAGAGTTAAAACTTTACTCCATTCAAGACCCCTCTATTATAATTGAAGGAGTACAGTTTATTATGCGAGTTTTTAAATTGTAAATCAAACACAACATCAATTTTATACATAAATCATTTTTCTCCTAACCCTTTATCAAATGTAGTATAATTACGTAGAACGTAATACCTACCTAACTCACCTCTAAATCAGTTACCAAATAGCCGTAGCTAGTTAGGGAGGGGCATTCACATGTCAACGCTTAGGGGCTTAGGGCCTATAGGTTATTCAATCTCCTATTTTTTCAGATAGGAATGTCAATGATTTTCTTAAAATCGACTTACTTTATCAAATTGAATTGTTTATTAGATTATTTTTAAAAATAAAAGCATAATTTTTTTAATATAAATTTATAATCGTATTGAATACTTAATTAGATACTCCAATTTTAAACTTTTTTTTAAAACAAATTAAACTATATATATATATATATATATATATATATATATATATGGAACATTAAATTTTTTGTCTTGAGCTGGAAACAAAGTAGCTAAACTTTACCATCAACACATTATCTAAATTAGAAGAAATCGTAAAATATCCACCCGTTATTTGTATGGAAAATTTTAATTGGACTTTGATTGGCTATTAAAAGTAAACATTTTTTCAGCTCTTTCCTTAATAATTACATTGTGTCGAGTCAAATTAAGAAATATTAGTATTAATTTTTTATACCAAGAGTTATAATGATGCATGCAAATCAAGTTACCAAAATATGTGAACGGCCCTAAACAAGTTATAAGTCAAACAACGTAACATAAATTTAACTAGAGTAAATGACTAAGGAGAAATAAACTTACAAAAACTGTTGCTTTGATAACGATATCACGAGAGTAACCTCCATGAAGATGTTCATTGCTCATCTTCGAAAGCATCACGTCAATGAAATCTCTTTCATTACCACCTCCATTAACCTCCATTAATGACGTTTCTCTCGTCTTCACATGCTCGTCTAACCATCTCTGAAAAATCGAATCGATATCCTTAAACGTCTTCTTCATTAACTTCACATGCCCTTGAAAATCTATCCATTTGAATAGCCGAATCGGAAACGCATCCCACAACACAAAATCCATTGACAGAACCAGAAATTTCCTAAAAGCTTCCTTAAATCTCTCCATTTCTCCGTCTCCTCCAGATTCGTAATTCTTCCCTGCTATCATCTGTACAATTAGCCCAAAATTCAATTCCTCTAACCAATCGGTTAGGTTTACTACTGATTTCTCTTCAGTATTTTGAATTCGAGAATGAAGATTTTTGATGTTGTTTCGGATTTTACAGAGCTTGATCTGTTTCAATTTCTCGAGACGAGAGTTGGATAGAACTTCCTGAATGATTAATTTTCTTATGTTTCGCCAGTAAGATCCGTAATTAGCTAGAAAAAGTATGGCGTTATTGTACCCAATGTATTCGCCGTAGAGACAAGCTGGACGATTCGCGAATACGGCGTCGTTTTTGGTGTAACACTCTTTTACGGCGTCGTAACTGCTGATTACTAACACGCGGTGAAGTCCGACCCGGAATGTGAAAACAGGGCCGTATTTATCGGCTAAATCGGAGAGTTTTCGAGCTAACGGACGATTGTCGCCGTCGTTGTTGAAGTAGAAAAGATGACCGATTACCGGCCATCCTCCGGCAATTTCCGGTGGTAATGGTAGTTTTGAAGTTTTTTTTGTCGATAAGATGAAGTAGAAGAGGAATGCGAGTGTTAACAGTGCTGCAATGGCTTCCATGGGAGAAAGAAGAAGAAGATCAAATTCCATGTCTAGAAAGTTATTATGAGTAAAATTATGATGCATGCAACTTCTTTTTTATAGTGTTAAGTATTACTTGTCACACCAACAACGGTGTCGTATTCTTTCATTTTTAATTAGATATTTTGATTTTAGTTCTTCTGGATATTGAATTGCATGGTACTTTTTGACGTTAATTCAGAATTGTATAAAAGTTAATTTGACTAATTTTTTAAGTTAAACTACATAAGAATCATTCAATAATTTGGATATCTAAAAGTTATATAAAAAATACAATATTGTTCTCATATTGATGGTATGAGAAAAAGTTAATTTTAAAATATTTGTTAAAGTTCATGTAATTTGACTTTAATAAAACGAAATATGACAAGTAAAGAAGATGAAAAGGGTATTGATTAAGTCTCGAAGATGAGTACTATATTATTTCTTTAATATTGTGATTTTTAAAATTAATTATTTTAAATTATTTTATTTTTATAGAAGTTCAAAACAAAATAAAATGTATATATTTTTTCCATTTCATCTTTAGTTATTGCCTTCTCCAAAAATAAGTACTACTTTGATTATATTGAAGGACAGATCGCAATATCAATATAATGACTTATATTCAAAATGTTAATAATATCGCCCATATAAATTGTTGATTAAAGTTATAAACGGTATTCTAGATTTATTTGCACTTTTCATATGGATATTTGAAATTTTGAACTCTTGGTTGTTTCTATTCAAATATTGAATGGTAATATGGTAGATAACTTATTTAAGGAATAAGTGATTCATGTTTTAACATCAATCACTTATTCCTTAAATCATTTTTCATAAGATATATGCGTATATAATTAAATTTCAAGTATTTATGCATGATATCAACAATTTTCAAATATTTTCTTTTTTCTCTAGTAATATGAAATTTTGAGAGTAGTTTATATAACAATTCTTCCATCATTTATAATGTTCAATTTTTTCGGATAATATCACATGTAGCTTGTCAATAATTTGAAGGTGTGGGGAATTGAATTGGTTATATTGAAAGGACATATCACACTATCAATATATTGACGATATTCAAAATGTTAATGATATTGCCCATATAAATTATTGATTAAAGTTATAAACGGTATCCTAAATTTATTCGCATTTTTCATTTTGATATTTGAAGTTCTGAACTATGAGTTGTTCATATTCAAATATTGAATAGTAATATGACAGATAACTTATTTTAGGAATAAGTGATTAATGTTATGTGTTATCATGATGAGTGCAAGTTAAAGAGTATTTACCTGTTCTTAATTTGGCATAAACTCCTTTTTGGAGTGAAAGGTGTGTTTGCTCTCTCAAACTTTTTATTATCCATGGTGAGGACTTTTGGAGTGAAGAGGAGATATTGTAAGAGTCCAGATTTTACCAACAAGGGTTGTGGTGGAGCGGTAAGTATTCCTTCATCCTTAATCAAGAGGTCTCGGATTCGAGCCCCCTTGGGTACGGAGTCGCCTTTGTTAGGGAGTGCTTTACTCCTCAATGTGGGAATTTCCGGCGCGAATTCGAATTTAGTCGGGCTCTAATGTGGGTACCGGACACCGAATGGAAAACCAAAAATAAATAAAAAAATAAGAGTCCAGATTTTACTATTAAAATTTGCTTTTTAGTTATTCTCAAATTTTTATTTTGTTGGGCTGGAAGGTATTCGTGGTTGTTGCCTTGTTGGGAATTGGGAGAAATTGAGAATTTTTTTGTTATTTGGTTTGTTTCTGTGAGCTTATGTGTGAGGAATTGAAGACTTCTTTTAGGTTTTTGGTTGGGTTAGTTTAAGTGTGAGTGGGTGGATGGACGGATATGGGCCGGATGGGTTTTAAATTTTGGGTTTAATTAATTGGTCAAATCGGATCCCTCCGTAGGATTAAGCCACGTGTCCCTATTTAGTCTTTTGTTAGAGTGAAGGACATATATGGTCTAAATTTTGGATAGCAGGGTCATCAATGTCCCAAAAGTACGATGAAATGTATCTGTATAGCATTTTCAATAGTTCGGAGGTATATTTATCCTTTTTCCATATAAATTATTGATTAAAGTTATAAACGGTATCCTAAATTTATTTGCATTTTTTATTTTGATTATTGAAGTTCTGAACTTTAAGTTGTTCCTATTCAAATATTGAATAGTAATATGGCTATTATAACTTATTTTAGGAATAAGTGATTGATGTTTTACTCCTAATATCAATCACTTATTCCTTAAATCACTTTTCATAAAAATATATGCATATATATAATTAAATTTTAAGTATTTATGCATGAAGTTCTGGTATCAACATTTTTCAAATATCTACTTTTTTTCTCTAGTATTATGAAATATTGAGAGTAGTTTTTATATAACAATTTTTTATCATTTATAATGTTCAATTTTTTTGATAATATCAATCACATGTAGCTTGTCAATAATTTGAAGGTGTGGAGACTTAAATTGATTATATTGAAAGGACATATCGCACTATCAATATATTGACTATATTCAAAATGTTAATAATACTGTCCATATAAATTATTAACTATAGTTATAAATGGAATCCTAGATTTATTCACATTTTTCATTTTGATATTTGAAGTTCTGAACTTTCGGTTGTTCTTATTCAAATATTGAATAGTAATATAGCAGATAACTTATTTTAGAAATAAGTGATTGATGTTTTACTCCTAACATCAATCACTTATTCCTTAAATCATTTTTCATAAGATAATTATGTATATAATTAAATTTCAAGTATTTTATGCATGAAATTGTGATATCAACATTTTCCAAATATCTTTTTTTTTCTAGTAATATGAAATATTGAGAATAGTCTATACAACAAATCTTCATAATTTATAATGTTCAATTTTTATTTTTTTCCTGATAATATCACACGTAGCTTGTCAATAATTTGAAGGCGTGGGGACTTAAGTTGATCATATTGAAAGGAAATATCGCACTATCTATCGACCATATTCAAAATGTTAATAATACTGGACCAATAAATTATTGACTAAATTTATAAACGGTATCCTAGATTTATTCATATTTTTCATTTTAATATTTGAAGTTCTGAACTTTGGGATGTCTTAGTCAAATATTGAATAGTAATATAGTAGATAATTTATTTTAAGTGATTGATGTTTTACTCCTAATATCAATCACTTATTACTTAAATTATTTTTCATAAGATATGTGCGTATATAATTAAATTTCAAGTATTTATGCATGAAATTATATATGATATCAACATTTTCCAAATATCTTCTTTTTTCTCTAGTAATATGAAATAATGAGAGTAGCTTATATAACAAATCGTCATCATTCACTACTAGAAAACTGTAAATAACTTGGAGATTTTACTTGGGAATTATTTCTATAGAAATTTCCTACGAATTTTCATTTGAAAATATGAAATTCCAAATTCTAAACTTTTTTACCTGCGAAAAATATTTCCCCAGAAAAATTTGTAGGTAAATTTGGCGCCATTTATGCAAGATTATTAGTTGGGGAATTATTTGGGGCAAATAATTTGCAAGTACCATTTTCATAGGCAAATTCGCAAGAAATGAAAAAAACTATTTTTTTTTATTTGTTTGCAAGAAATTCCTAAATAAACTTATTTGCCGATCCAGCTAGAAATAATTACTTTAAAAATTATTTTGTTGACTTCATCTGATACCATGTTCTCCAAATTTGAGTGTGCGCACGTAGTTACTTAAACTTGTATAGAGTATAACAAGTAAACACTTACATATTATTTAACGTCTTATGTGGCGATCCATGTCGGCGAACCAATTGATACTTAGCCCTAAAACAAACTGATAACACCACCTAATATTCATCTAAACAGTTAACATTTTGAACCTTTTGAGTTTTACCCCTAATATATAATTTAGGAGCTTTTAGATTAACTTACTGATACAAACTTCATACACGCCAAAAAAATTAATAGAAAGGTAATACATAATCATAATAATTTAATCTTATTGAAATTATGCATTATTAAGCAATTTCAAGAAAGATAGAACATCATAATTACTTAAATTTTATAAAGCTTGGGTGCGAGGCGAGGCTTTATTATCACTTCTACAGGATTTACCTTACGCATAGTCATGTCAGGTCCCTCTTTCATGTCCAAAGTTCATTTAATAGAGTTTTATAATTGAAACCTTGGATCAAATGATTTTAGGACAAGATCGTCTTCCAGAGCCAAATGGAATGAACTCGTAGTCTTGACCATAAAAATCAATATCAGTAGTGAAGAATCTATCTGGATTGAATTGATCAGGATTTGATCATATTTTAGGATCTCGTTGTAGCTTCATGACATTTGTGTATAGTCTAGTACCTTTAGGGACGTGATACCCACTAACAATACAATCCTTTGTGTTTTCATGTGGTACTAACAAAGGCCCGGGTGGATATAATCGTAACACCTCCTTAACGGTAGCTTGAAGGTACACCAAATCCTTAATATCGTTGTCATCTATCCTTATCAAATTTCGTGTCGATTTCTTCTTGAGCTTTCTTCAAAATATGTTGATTGTTTATTAGTAATGTCATTCCCCAGTTTATGTGAAGAGAAACTGTGTCTGCTGCATCCAAGACAAACTCTGGAAATTTTTTAGAAGAGTTAAAATTTTACTCCATTCAAGTCCCCTCTATTATAATTTATAATTGAAGGGGTATATTGTTATGCGAGTTTACAAATTACAAATCAAACACCGCATCAATTTTACACCTGAATAATTTTTCTCCTAACCATTTATCATCAAATGTAGTATACTTAGGAAAAACAATGGCACTCCTATGTTTTTCATGGGTACACTGTTCATTATATTCTAACTTCAGTCAGTTTCGCAAGATAAATATACATATATATATCTATGACTCTTTTCGAAATTAATGGATGCACGTGCACTCCAACTTAGAGGGGTGGATCTGCCTCTGGTTAGGGGCTTAAGGCCCTATATGCTATTCAATCTCCTATTTTTCAAATA